GCTGATATCTCTCTCCTGACGTGGCTGTCAGTGCCCGAGCTGGATTCTCAATGATGCCACACCAGCAGCCTCACGCAGCTGCAGCTCCGTACCCGCTCTGTTTTCAGCTAGTAGCCAGGAGAAGCACTGTTAGCAAGACACAGCACCACCACTCTCCTCCTCCTCCTCGTCTCGTCCTCGTCCTCTCTCTCCACGATCCAAACCGAACCATGCCTGAAAGAAAGCCTGACACAAAGCTCCAAAGAGGGAGAAATGTTTCTTGTGTTTGGGAGGCTCGGTTACAGTCGCTGAGAAGTGACAGAAAACAAAATGGAGAGGAGGATTGTTGAGGAGGGCCAGAGAGAGGGCAGCCGAGAGAGATTATGAGGAGGTGGGTCTGAAACACCATGAGTCATAAAGGTCTAAGAATGCTAAATGTGAGCACAGGGGAGGAGGAGGAGGGGGGCACGTTGTAGAGCGAGCGTGTGTGTAATTCCTGATCTCATTAAGATTTATTCAACACTGGCTCTTTATGCATTTTCCTGAGGCATAAAATAAAGCTACACATGGTTGTGGTGGTGGAATTGTTAGCTCAGAAACAAGAGCTTCCATCATTTAGCACTTCTACTTTCTTCAGCCCAATTTAGCAATATTGTGTCCCTGAATGTATACATGTATACATATTTATCGCTTAAACTACTCAATATTAGTATACTTAACCTCATAATGTTCAGAATACAATCTTAAATGTATCATGTTGGGGATGAGAAATTCTATTCTATATATAAAACATTATGGGATATGTTTTGATAGGGGTACTCAGCGTGTCAGCTTGTTAATTGAGATGTGATTAGGCTAAAAAAAATCTGCATTAGACAGTACAAAAATACAAAATAAAAGCGCTACAAAAACTTTTTTTTAGATGCAAAATAATGTAATTTAAACATGTGAATAAAAATGCGATTAATCTGGATTAACTAGCCTATCTATAGAATAATAAAAAGAATCATTGTACAGCCCTAGCATTGATGTATTCCTTTAGTTTTGTTGCAAGAAAAAAATATGCTATATTTTTTATCATTAATAAATTTCATACACAGAATTTAAAAGCGTAAAATGTAAAGAACACTACACAGCTTTTTTAAAGGTTTAATTTGTCATTTTAAATGCCTTTATTTAGAGATAGGACAGTGGATAGAGTCAGAAATCAGGGACGGAGAGAGTTGGGAATGACATGCCAGAAAGGAGCCACAGGCGGATTCGAACCTGGGCCACCCACCTTTAGGACCACAGCATCCACACTTGGGATGGTTGAGCACTAACCACTTGCCCAAAAGCACCTCACTACACAGCTTTTTGCAGAAAGTTTACTGAGTGTTTTTTTATCTTCCCAAAAAACATTTTTTTGCACATATTAGATATGTTATTGTATTTCCTCTGCAATTATATTTATTAATCAACTTATGAGAGATTTGTTGAGAACATTTGTAAATAAAATGTCTGAGGGTCATCTTTTAATCTTGCCTTCCATTAATTTACCGAATAAAATAAATAAAAGGAAACTGGTTCTCAGACTTGACCCAGCAGCCTCTTTAAGGAGGCGGATACCTGCTCTCCCCCTACACATCTCCAATGTTCCTCTACACACTAACCTTGGAGTTAAATTCTGTTCAAAAGCTTTAAAATTCTATTGTGATATAATTATTGACAAGTGCATTACATGTTAAACAGGACAGTTTGTGGAGAAAGAGAAAGGAGAGGCAGGAGACTCTTCTACAGTTGGCATCTGTCTGAAGTGGAAAATATGGGCTCCAGTCTAGCCATGATCACCATGCTGCTATACACACCATGTGACTGTCACATATTCTAAATCTGGGGGAGGGTCCATACTATCCTGAATGCAGTAGCTTATAGAAAGAGCAGGAAGAAAGCCTCTCTCATATATGTAACGTGGATGATCAGAAATAGAGAAATCCATGCACATCCTCCAGGCTCTGTTCTGCTCGGTGGCATTTTCAGCACCACGGGGCAGTGGACAGCTCCACGCTGATTTGACGTTAAAGCAGCTTCCCACAGGGATGTGGACCGATGTTCATAGATCAGTGCACTTATTCTAAAACAAAAAGCAAATTAGCTTAGATGTTGGTGTTAAGCCACATTAAGATGCCAAAGATCAAGGCTACGTGACAGCGTACAATCGTGACCATGGCAACAAAGGAAACAATAACTGATCTAACCCGTTTTGAAGCAGACAGAACTGATTTTTGGGGGAGGAATTGGCATGCAGGAGCATCCTCTCCTCACCCTTCTTTCTCCAAATGCAATAATAACACCTGCATTTTAAATGAGTAGCCAAGTTCGCACACAGCGTCTCACTGCAGCCGACAATCAAGGCGGAGTCTGGTTGGAGCACCAGCAATCAATCGTCCTATAGGGGTGATTAGGTTCCCCGTACTGAACCGTGCCTTGCATACCACATGCATGCACATTTGGAATAAAAGCCAGACCATGAAGGCTACTTCCTCCCCCCTGTGCATGACTCACTGTGTGGTTCCTCTCCATCCAGGTGCAGCTGAGCACCATGGGTACAACAGAGCTGCACAATGAAAGCCCAAAGTCATGCTGCTGCGTGGGAACTGTCACTACACCATGAAGCAATTCCTCTCACAGCGAGAACCGATTCACTCCAATATCCCCCCGTGTAGGCGGCTAATACACCCAGACATGCAGTGCAGAGCCACGGTGTCAGTGTCACTGTTTGCCTACCTGTCTCCAGGTGCAAAGAGATCCTCGCCTCGTTGATGTAAGGCGTGTCACTCTTGGACCGGACCCTCCGGATCGGTCTGCGGTCTACCTCCTCCTCCGGAGCCGCCGCCATGATCGGCCAGCCGGGCAGCGTCCACTGGCGACCGGCGGGACTGCGAGAGATACGGCGCCGCAGCAGCAGCCGCTCGTGCACCCGCCCGGGCAGACGGTGTAGGAAGGGGGGTGGGGGGGGGGCTGTTGTAATGGTGATGGAGGGGTAGGAGAAGGGGAGGTAGAGAGAGACAAGAAGAAGAAGAGAAGAGAGGAAGGGGCTTGATGAGCTTCTTGTTCGCTTTTCTTTCCAGTAAGTCAGCTCCACCTAAACACACCGGCCAATGAAAACCACTGAAACACATTCACATCACATCAAACATTTCAGCTCTCCTATGTGTGCTTTTTATCCACAGCGGGGATGGAACGAGGAACCAACTCAACACATCATTACAAGGTGATGGATTAAAATGTCAACAGTCTCTGGTTACAAAGTGTGAATGGCTAAATGTGTTGCTTTCTCTCTCTATTACTATAGCCTATCATTGGATTTGTTTTATCTTTGCCTTTTAGATTGTTTGTAAGATCCACAAACAGGTACTCTCATCCTCCTGGCTGATATTCCCCTCCTGGACCTAACTCTAAGCAGCTTTTCAATTAGTAATGGTGAGTTTTTATAGATTTGAACTGAAACTTGGTTATCATTGCTTTCATTTGACTGGACTATGTCTTTGCTAACCTCCATGGGACCCTCAATTCAGCTGGGCCCCAGAAAACCTTTCCCCTGTTATGGGCAGCCTTGCCCACAAAATAAGACATAAGGGGATTATATGGTTTGGGAGATTGTGATAGCCCTATTTAATATTAGATGACATGATGAAGACTGAAAGGTACCTGATCAATCTAAAAATAGTAAATGAATTTAAAAAATTAGAATTTTCTGCAGCTGTGATAAAACACAGCATCATATTTAGTATAAAAAAAGCACATTGGTCTTATTTGTGGTTTAAAAATCTATTGCAAACATTTTTCGTTTGGACATTCTTTGTTATAGTTTGTCGATGATGGCCTGTTGGTGCAAAAATAGCAAACCTCACAGGCATCCTGATACTGAGGAAATGCCCCCAAACCTTAATAGTAGTAGACAGTTTCTTACCACACTCCTTAATCCAACATATCAACCTCTCAGCTCCAGCCATAAAGCACCAATAAGGTTTTTCTTTACGTTTGAAAACACCAATGTTGTTCAGGGTGGGACAAAAAGAAAGTAGAAATGACAGGACTGATTGTGCTCAGGCTGGAGGGCAAACAACAAAGAGGCACCAAAAGGTCCCTGTTCTAAATATAGCTCCTGGAAATCATAATGGAAAAACATGATTAAAAAAAAGAAATACTGCTCAGGGTTTTACAACAGCATTGTTAGTATATAAGTGGCTGCTTTTAAAATGCAAACTATTGCACAAAATCACTTCATATGTTGGATATGCAGAAGGAGTACTACTAGGGTAAAGCGTTTGGTGTTGTTGTCGTCTTATCAAACTGAAAAAGGAAACATTTTTAACAAAGATGTAATGTAAAACCGTCAGACAATGCAGACACCTTCCCTGCCTAATGTGAGAACTGCTGATGATCGTATAACTGAAAGAAAATCTATAAATCAATAAAAAAAAAAAAATCCATCTCAGATGAAACAGATTTCCTGTCATTATTATCCTGGTTGTGTCATATATTCTATCAATCAAATGCTGCCCTCTAGTGGAGAAGCAAGAATAATATTATCAGGTTAACAGGGATTTCAGTAACAAAGCACAACAGAGGGGTAGTACCCTACAACATTGTTCTGAATATAATTCGCATTTACAGAGACAATTAAAAGAAGACACACCTCCCAAAATATCCATATATTGGTTTTGCGGCTGATATGAATTTAATAGATTATGCTAATAGTTTACATGGTCAAACCCATACTGTAAAAATGACTTACTTTAGACATGGATTACAATCTAATTGTAGCAATACAAAAACGAATAGGAATCATTTCTGGTTTTCTGGTTGTTGTTAGTATTTGTAGTCATTTCGTCTTGCTCTTTCTTCATTAAATTGTAAAAAAAAACAATATAAACAGTTTAAAGACATTAGTAGTACAAATACTCCCTCTGCTGGTTCATGTCGTTTTTTGGAGCAGTTGTTATTTACCTCGCTGACTCTCCCGATAGGTTCATTTCCTGACAGTCAAAACCAGTCCACCAAACAGCTGCTGAGCCGGTGAACGAGAGAAACACACCGACAGACTTCCCGGTTCTTCAGGTGTCGACCCTTGCTGCGGGCTCTCAGGTAGCTGGTCAACATTAGCACACCTCAGATCCAACATCTGGAACCAACAACATTTTCTATGAGCATGCAGCGTTGCCATCACAACCGTTGTCGATAGCCGTTTCCTTGGATACGAGCGCTACCTTGTTAGCATGCTATATCTATCCATGCTGGTGACAGACTGCAAGCTGAGCCATTTAGCATCTAGTCTGTAGGTTAGTGACAACGACAGGCTCTTGACTGCAACTGAGGAAGATCAGTGCTCGTTGCTGTGAATAAAAACTATAGTAATATTACTGTTTTATTTAATTTATCAAACTTAATCCCCGGACTAACTTTGTAATTATCTGAGTGCTAAAGCTAGCCTCATGCTCTGTTTATGTTGACTGAAATGACCTTCCTTCCACCTCCCCTTCAAATTCAAATCTTCACACTGAAACCGAGGCACAGGTTGTCTGAGCCTCTCACCTTACCATCACGTTTTGTTACTACACATTTGTCTATTTTTGTGATAAATACTGTCCTTGATGAATCCATTTGAGGACCCTAAGCTTTAAAAAGCACGTTTTCTTCTTTTAGGATGAAACCTGCTAAACAAGGAGTGTTTTAATGTCGATACTTACTTTGCAACTTTTTTTTGTTTTTGTTTTTTTCCAAACAAATATGGCAGCCGGAAGTGACGTGTGGTATACATATTTCGGTCTATTTTTAGCCTTACTCCAGTTGTTCAAAAGTTGAATATGGATTGAAATAATTGAATATGTTGGGTCTTTTTTTTGCTATCCAGGCTAAGCGTAGCCATTTTATTTTAGCCCCAGTTTTAATTAGATTTATTAAATTGGAACCCTGATTTAGAAACAGACATTGATTTTCAAGATTAAACTCAAGGACAGAAACATACTTTTCAGGATTACCAAATCTGGATCACCAGTGCTCAAAATATAACTACATACAATTGAAAGTGCTATGTAAACAACAAGCGGTACAACAACAGCAAGCTTGGAGTCACTATTAGTGTTCACATATGAAGTTTACAATGTTTTCAAACTTTCCACCATTTCTGCTGCCCTGAACTCCGCAACTCAGGTTTCATTGAAATTTCCCAATAACCCACTCATGCTAACGTCTCTAAAGGGTTGTTCATGTGCTCATAACTCGTAAATATAGTAATGACGATATTTCTGAGAAGCACATGAAGGCAGCATGAACCATAGTTGGATTATTAGATCCAGTCTGTTTTAAGAAACCCTATTTTCTTTTGAAACATGTCATTGCTGCCATGCTGTCCCATAGCCAAAATCCACATTACTTTTGACCAACTGAGCCCTGAAATACAAAACTGTCTTTAATTTAAAACAGTAATATCTTAGGAGGCACAGGCTTTAGTGAGAAGTTGAACAACAACAGGAAAAAGTGATTGTGATATGACTTTCCTCCACAGTCGCCATAACCTGATGATTTTACGCCAGTTCATCAGTAGAGGCGTGGTTAACTCTCACCTGTATGCCCCCCTGAAAAGGCCACAAGGCAGTCAGGACATGGCCAGACCAAGTTCAGGTAGTTTTTTTTTATGTGTCTGTTACATCCTCTGCAAATCCCTCAGCTTTTGTCATTCATTATTTGTCTTTGTCTTCAGACCTGGCAGCTTTCAGGAAGATTTTCTCCAACGCTCAGAATATCGCCATCATCACAGGAGCAGGGGTGAGTGCAGAGAGCGGAGTCCCGACCTTCAGAGGAGCAGGGGGCTACTGGAGGAAATGGGAAGCACAGGTATGCAACCACAACAGTTTAATCTTCATCTCTTCTGGATTTAACATTATATTCCCCTCATTCACATAAAGTCCTCCATCCATCCATTATCTTTTCCGTTTTTCCCGCTTGGGGTCACGGGGGGCTGGAGCCAATGGAGTCCAGCTGTCATTGGGCGAGAGGCAGAGTACACAAATTCAATCACCAGCCACACTAACATTCACACCTTACGGCAATTTAGAGTCACTTATGAGCATGTATTCGAAGTTTATTGCGGAAATTATCACAATGCAATCGTTTTTGGCTAATGGTGTGTGATAAACTGGTAAATCATTTGTATACATAGGAGACCCCAGAGGTGATAAAAACACAAGGACTGAATTTGTGTCCAGACACCAACCATTGCTTTCTCTCATATAGCAGCTCACCTGATGTGCAAAAACCTGCAACACAGCATATTCAAATCTTCATTGTGTATTTATATGAAATGCTAAACAGTGATAATGCTTCATAGAGAAGAAGTTTTCAAGGAGACGCTTGCTTCATTCCTACTCTGGTCAGTGAGTCTGTACTCATCAAGCATTCCTGGGAAGTGCACTGAAAGTTTAACTTTGACTAAAAATAGTCTTGACTCAGAGAGGAAACCGACAAACCTGATTGGTTTGAAACCTCATTGCAATTCTAGTGCTGATCTGAGAGAGTGCAGTGTTGACTGGCGTACATTTGCAGCAAGTTTGAGTCATATTCTTTTTTCATTCAGCTGTTTTTGTGTGGTCAGGGTTTAAATAGCCTTTTTATTTATTTATCCTGTAGAGCCTTGCTACACCAGAGGCCTTCTCCAGAAATCCTTCCCGGGTTTGGGAGTTTTACCACTACCGCCGCGAGGTCATGCTCACCAAAAATCCAAACCCCGCCCACCTGGCCATCGCGGAGTGTGAGGAGCGACTGGGCAAGCAGGGACGCACGGTTACAGTCATCACTCAAAACATCGACGAGCTCCATAGCCGTGCAGGATCCAAAAACATCTTTGAACTCCACGGCAAGTAGAAACAGTGAAATCACAGAATAACAACATAAAGTATATTTAAGAATGAGTTTGAAGATAGAAGCTGGGACATGTGCAATGTTCTTTATTTCATTAAATTTAGATATAGACAAGAGTTAAAATAATTGTTAGTAAAAAAAAATGTATTTGATGTTTCTTTTGTTTCAGCCCTAACCTTCCTTCTCTGTTGTTGATAATTCAGGGAGCCTGTTTAAAACGCGCTGTATGAGCTGTGGTCATGAAGCAGCCAATTACAAGAGCCCGATCTGCGCCACTCTGGAGGGCAAAGGGTAAGAGCTTCGTCTGGTGTCATTTGCGAATGGACCGCTTTCCTCGACAATATGAAAATGTGTCCTAACAGATATTGATCACTTTCCTTTCAGCTCCAAATGCCAGCATGAAAAAAAAATCCTGTTTCAGTGTGTCAGATGTCAGGAGCTTAATAAAACCCGATGATGCTGTGAAAAGGAAAATCTGCAACCCAAATGAAATGTCACTTTAAAAAGCTGCTTATCTGACATTTACAATGGATGTTTAAAAACAAAAAAAAAAAAAGAAGACAAAATGCTCCGCTAATTAATTCAGTCTCTGCTGTGACAGGAAACCTGTGCTGCAATGCAAATGAAAGATCAGAACTGATTATGTAATGTTACAACAGATCAGTGCCGGCTCTGTGAACAGTAACAGGGATTCAACGTTGATCCTTTTATACGTTAAGTAATATCCTCCAGACTTACAGGCGATTACAATGTCTCACTGTGTTGAAATTAATTCAAATACTTACATGAAAGGGTGGCCTGGTGGTTAGTGCGCGCACCCCATGCACAGAGACTGTGGTCCTCATGCTGCAATCGTCGGTGTCCTGCGTTGTTGTGTTAGCATGCTAATGTTAGCGCTCTTTAGTTAGCTCGTTGCTTCATATTGCACATAAATTGACACTGAATGACCGTGATCTAAAAACACTTATGTGAAATTCAAATAATCAGTGAGTATGTTCTTCTTCTCTCTAGTCCTTGACTAACAGCTTCTATACACAAGGGGAGGAGCCGGCCGTCCCTTTTATGTAAACACGGCTCTGACTACAACACAGCCAGCGGGACTCGAGCTTCTCCCTCATTGTAGACAGTCATGACTCAGAGAGACATTTACACAGGATAGACTGGATTTCTGCTGGATTTATGTGTAATTGTTTCCTTTAAAATCAGCTGTAAATTCTTCTTCTGCTACAATGCAGTTGATGAACTATAAATGAACATCTATTAAAGCCTCATTAAATCCTCCCTAAAATGATTTGGATTTTACATCTTTAATTTATTGCATTGTTCAGCTGTTATAAAGAGGATAAAACTTATATAACAAAAAAATATCAGTATAAAATGACTTGAATTTCTTAAACACATGGTTAAGATACCAAACCTGGTTTACTAATTTTCTGTCTTTAGAGCTCCAGACCCAGAAACTGATGACGCCAACATCCCTGTCCAGCATCTGCCCAGGTAAAACACACTCGAGTTTTCATAAGCTGCTCTGCCCGAAAGAAGGTATTTGTTTTGATAACGTGTGTGTTTGTGCGTGTGTGTGTGTGTGTCAGGTGTGAACAGAGAGGATGTCAGGGCCTCCTGAGACCAGCTGTGGTTTGGTTTGGAGAGACTCTGGACTCAGACATCCTCACCCAAGCAGAACAAGTGTTGGAAAGCTGTGACCTCTGCCTAGTGGTACGTACGTATGAGTGTGTGTGTGTTGTGTGTGCCTTATAGAGTGCACCACCACGTCTACTGCAAAGGACACGTTGCACCCCGTTCACACAAGCACTTCACTCCTGAACCTGAACATCACCCAGAGGGGCTACATGTGAGAACACAAATGTCTGACTCTGTTAACCCAGACATTAAATCTACTCCATCCTTTCAGCCCTCCAGTACAGAGTCAGTGTGTCCATGACTGAGTGTGAGTGTGAGTGCAGCAGATAGTTGACTGTGTAATTCACAGAGAGCGAGCGGGTAAACTATAGCTGCTTCATATTCCTTTCTGCTCATATGAATTGTTAGCAGTTTCACAATTTATTTACGATAATATTTTAACACATGAACATGAACTAAAATACTTACCGGTAATTCACAACATATTGAATAACATGCATGTTTCTTCTGATTTGACACAGCGATATTTACATTTCAGAGTGTTTCCTGAAGCTACTCCTTGATGAATTTTGGTCCCTCTAGCCCTTTTAAAAGATTGTCCATTTTTATTTTAGCCAGGAGAACCCACTGAGACTGAGGCCTCTTTTTGCCCTGCTGCAATATAATAAAATACAGAACAAGAAAAACATATAAAACACAATTAAAATAATTACAAATACATTTATGAACACACTGATTGTTGCATTACTTTCCTTTAGTAGTTCAACCAGGAGAGACTTAATTAAGAACAATTATTTATTTTACACTTAAGGAAATAAAGTGCAAACTCTTTGGTGATTAGACTCCATCATTACTGCTTCATGAACTCAGAGGGGTAGTGAGGCCGACAGCAGGATAGGATACCCCCCTATGGAGTGAGTGTTTGAGTTCTTCTGATGAGGAGTGGGTTTCTGAGGCTGTGTCTGAACTCTGCTGAGCTGGAATGGAGGGGACCGGGCAGAAGAGGGTCGCAGCGATCGCACTGAAATGACAAACTGACTGCAGAAGAGAGAGAACAGGTTTTAAAATTTGACTGCAGCCGGGATGATTGGTTGAGAGAGGTTGAGTCAGAATCTGGTTGGATTCCAAATCAGCTGATCACCAGAGCAGGGAGACGGAGGGAGTGGAAGAGAGGGAGGGGCTAAGCTGAATGAAGAAATTGAATAAATGTGTGAGAATATAACCAGTCTTCCTGATTGAACTTACACTGAGCTCACTTTCAGACACTAGCTCTTGACTTCTTATCCATCAAAACTTTAATTAAAACTCCTCCCTGCAGGTCGGCACGTCGTCTGTTGTGTATCCAGCAGCCATGTTTGCTCCTCAGGTTGCAGCGAGAGGTATCCCAGTGGCCGAGTTCAACATGGAAAACACACCGGCCACCATGCGCTTCAAGTATGTCACAATCACATGACCTTTTACCCTACGTCACATTTACAGCAGATAACCCTTTTCTTATTGTGTGTGTGTTTTCAGGTTCCACTTCCACGGCCCCTGTGGGACCACGTTGCCTCCTGCGTTGGAACGCCACAAGAATGAGACAAAATAAAAAGAAGTCCTGGACGTGAGCTGCACACAGACCGGACTGTCTAACACTGGAGGACTTTATTGGTACAAATACACAAAATGAAAATGATAAATAATGAGTTACCATGAAGAGTGTGGGGACAGGGTTCATGAAATATATAAGGACAACAATTCGTTCAAGAGATCAAATGAACAATGGAAGTCTATAACAAATAATACAATGATGCAAAATCAAACCCCTCTCTGAGCTACCACCAATTTTATTTATATTATAATAACGCTTCTATGTCAGTGTGTGCTTATGAAGGGATTAACATAGCTTTTCATAACGGGAATGTTGAAAGAGACGATAAATGAAGAGCAGCAACAGATTAAATACAATCACATGTAGGTCAATGTGTTGCTCCTTTTGCATTGAGTCAGTAGTTAATGTCCGACAGTAGGGGGCAGTGTTTAGCTGTCACTGCTGCTACACCTCCAGTAAGAAGGGAAATAAAGAACTGCCAAAGTATCAGTGGGATGGATGGTGTGAGTGTGTGTGTGAGTGTTTGTCAGTTCAGTGCTGTCTGAGTTCATTGACTGTGATTTGTTCCAGTAGCCATGAGTAGGCACCAGTCAAACCAGGGAAACCAGTGACTGTGCATCCCCTGTGAAAGTCAGGAAAAGATACAGGATGGTGTGTTACATGTATGTTCAGATCTGCTGCAAAATAAATGAAACAGCATATTCATGTTGAATTGAAATAAATTAATTATCTTACAAACTGATGAATGTCTCTGCAGAGCTTCTGTCTCTCTCTCTCTCTGTGTGTCTGTGTCTGTGTGTGTGTGTGTGTGTGTGTGTGTGTGTGTGTGTGTGTGTGTGTGTGTGTGTGTGTGTGTGTCTAAATTAACATTGATCAGAGTTGCTAGCAGAGTGAATTCTGGATGTACTCGGCTCTATATGCTCTCTGTTCTGAGCATGAGATGAGATTGTGCCTGACACTTCTGCACTTGACCCCCCTCCCCCACACACACACACACACACACACACACACAGTCTCAATGTAAACACACACTTCACAGGCCCACACTGTTTATGTGCATCCTGATTCCAGATCAGGCAGTACCTCTACAGTTCACAGTGCCTTTATAGAAACATTGTGCATTGGCTCACTATTTCCTAAAGTACTCTATTATTTTTGGGTCTGAAAAACAAGATTGTTACAAGTTGCTATGAGGAGAATAAACACTCATATAGGTTGACAAGTTGGTGTCATACTCCCATATTTATTGTCACATCAACATAAAGACTACCACCTGGGATGGCCTAGCTGCATGAGACCAAGCTGCAGGCTCCTGTGTTGGAAAATGAAGCCAATGCAGAAGTGCAAAATACTGCAGTTCTTTGAGTGTCCACTTGAGGCTGTCTGCAGAAGCCCCGGAAGTCCCATACACACTCATGGCAGAAATAAACATGTTTACAGCCTGGTTCAAAAAACGAACCTGGTCTGATTAGCCCATGTCGTTATCGCCATTCACTCAACAGGGGGTGAATTGCTGTAACTGTTTGTCAAGATCCAGCTCAGATCCAGCTCTTTGCGCGGTGCTGGGTTTACAGACAGATAGGTCGAGACAGCATTTCCAATATGGACTCTGCCATTGACGGGCTTCAAGCGCTGTCTTCAGCAGCAAATGGGTTACGTCCCTGATGCTTTCTCCATGTTTATTTACAGTCTATGCATGAGACATGAGACATCCCTAGACTGATATAACAGTGATCCTGTTAATTCACAAGTATTTTCACTGCTAAAAAAAAGAAACACGTTGCACACAAATCATAAGTAAATACAAAAATGTGGGGCAAAAGCAGAAAACGCAATCATACACATTGGAAATGGTATAGAAAATTACCTAAATGATGGCTTTTTTTGTGTTACAAGTGAAGAAGAGTTGTGTTCAACACCTTGATGTTCAATGACACGATTTTCATCAAAGCTACTTAAAGTTTTTCTCTATTTGTTGTTTTCTCATTTAGTATGCCATTTTTTTTCTAATTCCTGCTCTCATTGTTTTAATAAGATAATTGAAAACATGCCTCTCTCATTTATTTTCATGGCTTTTCTTTCTGCACATTAAGCTCTCATCGTATGAGTGTACCTCAGACCCACTGCTCTGATATAGCCGATGTTCTGCTTTGGCTAAAGATGATGTTGTTCCTGACACTTTCTTCGTGGCCAAATCAGCCCAACCCCCAGAATCCATCATCTCATGAACACACACAGTGTGCAGGCCAAGTCCTGCCCGGTTAACGCTTATTTGCAGCAGAGGCTGATGTCAACAGAGGTTATTAATATTTGGCTGATCTGTTGGTAATATTTATATTCGCCACATGAAATCTCATCACACATCTCATCCCTTCGTTCCCCACCTCTTTAGTCTTTCTCCCTCTGCTCTTTCTCAGCCGCCTTCTCACAGTGCTTCTTTCCCTCTCATCGTTCTCATCTCTACATCTGCCGTGTGCCGTGTTTCAGACGCCAGGCTTTCCTCCCTCCCCAGCTACGCCTCCATCACCTGCTCATTAGAGAGAGGATGATGGTCCGATAGTCCCCGATGACTCTGCTCCAAAAATAACAGAGCCAATTTCCCGCCTGTTAGGCGGCGATTTCACACCAATCTGAGTTGTACTGCCAACGCGGCCTGTCGGAGAGAGAGAGAGAGAGAGAGAGAGAGAGAGTGGCTGTAAGAGGAAGAAATAAGGTGGAAATGAAAACCAATGCAATAAAAGAAAAAAATGTAGGTCAGAGTATAACGTGTCAGATAATGCAAGAGCTGTATCCCTCAAACACACTGCCCCCAGCAGATGTGGCAGAAATATTCTCAACAACTAGAACAAAGTTTAGTTATATTGGGAGACATTTTTATTATTTACTTTATTTTTGAAAGGGAAACCCCATAACCCCCTGAAAAACTACAAATAGTAGACATAAAATGTTTACTATTGTGCTTTGGAGTTTTTGAAAGGCTTTGTTCACCTATGGACAAAACCAGGCTAGCTGTTTCTACCTCCTTTAGGGGTTATGCTAAAATAATCTAAGCTAAGTAACTGATGGTTGTAGCTTCATATTCTGTGTTTTTGGACCAAACCGTTCTGGGCAACTTTTGAAGAGGAACTATCCACGAGGGTGTTCCCTGAGAACTAAACATCATGAGAACTTTTTTTCTGACTTCATTTTCACCGCCATAGTCCTGCATGGGAGAATACCTTCTCTGAAGCAGGAGTTAAAAAGGTTCCTCTAAACAGGGTTCTAGGAAGAGAAATCGTTAATAATTGCTGCTGTGCAGAATCAATAAAAAAGGGGAGATTTCCAAGATGTTCCTAGAACTATGAAAACGTTCCTGCAGTCTGAGTAAGTGATTTCCACAAAACAATAGAAGATAAACAGGGTTATTTCAAGGTGAGATTACCTGTGATTTTCAAGTTGATTACTGGGGGGTCATTATGGCCTCCCGCTTGCCCAAACATGGTCACTTTTAGCCTTGATAAACCAAGATGCCAGTGGCAAAGATGGCAAACTCTCCAATAGTTCACAGACAAATCATCATGGTGGATTAGTTCACAAATTAAATTCAGTGTTCGTTTTATTCAGGTTTTATTGTCTTAATTTTTCTACATTTCATCAAATATGGATTTTATGTAAAGGGTTTGAATAATTTTTTGCCCCTCTAGTATGAATTTCTTGTGAAAACAGGGATTGCTGGAATAGCTTTTGCAGCGACGTCTAATCCCAGGATCTGCTCTGCTTCAGCCAAGCCTGCTGAGAGGTTTCGGTAAATATCTCCATCAATGTCACTGTGTCACCAGCTACAACGTCAGTATAGCCCGTCTCCCCCCACCACTTTTATGAGCTGTGCACCCACATGTGACCTCTAACGGACAGGGGCTTGAATTTGTCTGTGTGTCTGCGAGCGTCTGCGTGACTTGGAGGATGGAAGCAGTGGAGCTGATTTTTCCCAGAAGTTTGTCAACTTTATTTTATGCAAACATTCGAAAATATTTGTTCAAAAATTATCACCTCGGGCCGCATATTTAACTTTCTGTATTTCTGTAGCTGTAAGGCTCGTTAAAAGCAGGGAAAGTAAGATGCTGAGTAACAGCGTATCATGAAAAAACGCTGTGGAAATCTGTATAAATAGAGCAATATTTAAAAAGCAAATGACTGCACAGAGCATTTTTGTCCTATTTCGATCAACGTAGATGTTCTTTTTCCTGCATCATGCGGGACGGAGCTAATGCCAACACCTCAGGCTGCCTAATGGACCAACTTGATTAAATGTGCAGTTTGTGTGTGTGAGTGTGTGTTTGAATAATTTGTCTCCCCACAACTCTCCTCGTTCAGCCGACAGAAATTCCAATTAGAGACTCTTCCCCTCCCTCTTCACAAACTGGAGCATCCTACAGTATTTATTCATTCGGTTGGCAAATGTAGAAAGTGAATTCACTTCCAGCCACAGACGCCCACGCCTTCATCCACAGGCACACCTGCAACTTTCAGCGCTACGATTTTTAATTCACACTCAAGCGAACTTATTCTTTATTCATTTTGAAGACAGAAAAAAAGTGCTAGAACATTTTCAGTGTGACTGTGTGGGACATACAATCATGTATGTGTGGGAGAGTACAGTTTCTAAGATTTCTCTCTCAGCACTGACAGGAAGTTCCTGGAAGTCTCCAGGATAAAAAAAAAGGTGTTAGGTCCCCTGTTCACCTAGCCTTTTTTTTTCGACAGAAAAGCGCTGGCTGTGCGTTCCGTAGGAAAGAGGATGCGGGTACAAAACTCGATCCATAGGTGGCAAAACTACAGGGAATATCATACATTTGAAAAAGAGCGCCAGTAACGTCTGGAGCGCTTTTCTAAAAAAAAATTGCAATATTTAGAAATCACCCAGAGGGAAAATTAACAGTGTATTAGTGTATCTATGCATGCACGTTTTTGCAAATGTAATACATTGTACTTAGATACATGAGTGGATCTTTATTGACTGAATGCAATCAATGGACAGAAACCTTCCCAAACAATTTTTACCCACAAAATGGCCCCTTTAAGAGGCCAAGATCAAACCACTTCAATCACAAATGTGATCGATTGAAAAATGTCCTCAGCTCAAATGTTTAAGTTTTCCAGATAAAAATGGACTGAACCAAACGGTCTTTGTCTTGTAATTTGAAAACTGTGTTCATGTTTAGAAAATGTCCTCAGTAACAAAATTTCTCCCCACTTATGTCCTTCACAAAAAAAAAACATTCTCCACTCAGTAAAGGTTTTCTCTCGAGAAAAGGCGTCGTACTTTGACTCTGTCCACACCTACAAATAAATGTACCGAAACTCCAAAACTGTCCTCGTGTTTGAGAACTGATCATCATTTTTAATCATTTGTCTACTATCCAAAGAAATACAATTTCACAACTTTCTCAAACGGTCCTCATGAAGATAGAGATATACACACACACACACACACACACACACACACACACACACACACACACACACATTTTGTTCACTGGCTCCTCCATGGTAGAGTTGAGTGCTAATGTGTTGCTGTGGGAACTAAGATGTGTGTAGTACCTCGACAGAAGAAAGCCTGCAGCTCTGCTTCGCTATACACACTTCTCACATCATTTCTCACACACTGTCGAGCTGTAGAGGGGCTGCATAAAAATCTCCAGGTACACTGTTTGTCAAAATTGATATCCAAAACTTTTTATTATTTACTCTTTCTTTTGAAAA